CCCCAAAACCCCAAAACCCCAAAACCCCAAAACCCCAAAACCCCAAAACCCCAAAACCCCATGAAAAAGAGCCTTTGTTGATCGAAAATTGGCCGATAATAATATTTAAAATAAAGAAAGATGTTCAAACAAGCTGCCGGACTTCAAGGGCTTCTCAAAGAAGTAAGTTTCTGTGATTAATTTTTGCTGATTTTTGGTTTAGGGATCAAGACATTACACAGGATTAGAGGAAGCCATCCTCAAGAATATTGATGCTGTCAAGACTTTGTCTAAAATGACAAGATCTTCACTTGGACCACATGGTAAGTTCACAAATCTTGTCGTGGTTTCTGGGAAACGATCTAAATCTATTTAGGTATGAACAAGATGGTCATCACCCACATTGGAAAATTGATTGTCACCAGTGACGCTGCCACAATTGTCAAGGAGGTCGAAGTGCAGCACCCAGCAGCCAAAATGGTTGCCATGGCTGCCGCAATGCAAGAAAGTGAAGCAGGAGATGGAACTAACTTTGTTCTGACCCTTAGTGGAGAGCTTATGCAGCAAGCTGAGAACCTTATTCAAGAAGGACTTCACCCAAGTGATATCCTCCTTGGATATGAGAAAGCTTCTCAGAAATGTCTTGAATATTTAGAATCTTTGGTATGCTACTCTATTGAAGACATGACTAATCTCGAAGAAGTTCAAACATGTATCAGAAGTGTAGTTGCCTCCAAGCATTATGGAAATGAAGACCTTTTAGCTCCACTCATTGCTAAAGCATGCATCTATGCTATGCCAGAGAACCCAAGAGACTTTGTTGTTGACAATGTCAGAGTGACCAAAATTCTCGGAGGTGGACTCACTGATAGTCAAGTAATCCACGGAATGTGTGTCATCAGAGGATCTGAAACAACTATCCACAATATCAAGGAAGCTAAAGTTGCCGTATTCAACTGCCAACTCGAAGCTGAAAACGGAGATACTAAAGGAACTGTACTTCTCAGAACTGCTGAAGAACTTTCAAACTACACTAAAGGAGAAGAAGAAGCTATGGAGAAATTTGTTAAGAAACTTCACGACACTGGAATCAATGTAGTAATCTCAGGTGCTTCTATTAGTGAAGTTTGCCTCCATTACATGGAAAAATACAAGATCATGGTTTTGAGAATCCACTCTAAATTTGAAACTAAGAGAATTGCTTCTTCTCTTGGTGGAGCTATCCTTGTCAGAATGGATGCTCCAACTCCAGAAGAAGTAGGACATGCTGATGAAGTTTACACTACAGAAATCTCATCCACCCAATGCACTATCTTCAGAAGAGATGAAGTTGATAACAGAATCGGTACCATAGTATTGAGAGCTAGTACTATCAACGTATTAGATGATGCTGAAAGAGCTATTGATGATGGAGTAAACACTGTCAAGAACATGTCTAAAAACTCAGCTTTCTGTGCTGGAGCAGGAGCAACAGAGATTCATCTCTCCTCTCAACTTCAAACTTATGCCAAGACCCAACCAGGACTTGATCAATACGCTGTTGAAAGATTTGGACAAGCCTTTGAGATAATTCCTAGAACACTTGCTGAAAATGCTGGCCTTAATGCTGAAGAAATCATTGCCAAGCTCTTCTCAGAGACCGCTAAATCTCCATTCTATGGAATCGATGTCGAAGACGGAAAAGTTAAAGACATGAAAGCTCTTGAAATCTATGACTCCCTTGAATGCAAGAGCTGGGCAATAAAACTAGCAGTTGATGCCGTTCTCACAATCTTGAAGGTTGATCAGATTATTATGTCTAAGCCAGCAGGAGGGCCAAAGCCAAGAGATGCTAGGGCTCCAGATTTAGACTAAATCATCTAATATAAATGATTTGTAATTATTGGTAAAACATATAATGACAATCATATTCAACATTATTGCATCAATAAGGGGTTTTGGGGTTTTGGGGTTTTGGGGTTTTGGGGTTTTGGGGTTTTGGGG